TCTTTAGACTTCTAATTGCATTCCTTTGATCATATGTGATCTTATTGGATATCTTGGACTCCTTCAAGAACTATACTACCCTCCAAAAGACTCTTTAACTTTTACAACTCTTTTATAACAATCCTATTCTTTTACAATAAGCATTTTGTCGAAAGAATTACCAATACAATTAAAAACCTAACAATCTTCCAATTTGGCATTATGTGACAAAATTATACAATACAAATCAATGATATGAAAACAAAACTAACTCAAACTGAATGTTTGTTTCTTGCATTTCTTGAAACCTGTTTCCTGAAATTAATAACTCTAACACCAAGTGTAAAAACACGTGATACAAGAACTATAATAATTGAAACGGACTATTATATGCTAGCTAGATTGAGAAGCAATACTAATATTAATCAAAACGCCAACTAAAACATCAATATCTCAAAACATCAAAACTCAAAAAGTTAAGCATCCAAAAAAAAATAAAAAAAACATCCCTCCCTTACTACAAACTCTCCAAAATTAAAATTAAAATTCCCTATCATCATCTATCTCTCCCTTTTTTGTCATAAACGACGAAAATAACTATAACAACAATACATAATAACTCAAAAATGTAGTTAATAGCATGCATAAGCATAATCAATGATCGGTAAACTTTTTCACATACTTAGTTCAAGTTTAAATGGAGTAAATTGTATAACTGACTCATGTGTATTAATTGTCAATAATTCATTGTGATCAAGACTCCAAACTTTTATCACTGTTAAATAAGTTTATTTCTCTACTAATGAAAGTTAAACCAATAATGCATATTATAACCTATAAATGAAACTCATTTTTTATGTATATTATTATTTTCTCTTCCTTACTTTGAGCATATATATATTTTCACACCATTTATATTTGTCTTTTTAAACACATCATTTTTCTCTTCGATTTTTTATATCTTATGTGCAGATTCTTCTCCATTAAACGACTAAGATGACATATGAAACAAGTTTTGGGCCGATGACTTCAAGTCAATTGACCATAGATTATCAGGTTATGAGAAACCTCTCAAACTTAATTACTCAAGTCAAATAAGTTTCAAAAAGGAGTATAAGATGAAACATTTTTATCTTATTTAGGGGGATATACTAGAGGTGAGGTGAGGTGTACTAAATTAAGGTCAATCCATGTTCAAGACCACCTTACCATCAGATGTGAGTGATGCATGATGAATTAGAATT